CAGGAGGGGAATCAACTCTTGGAAAGGGTTGATAACTGCAGGACAAGGGGAAATGGTTTGAAGTTGAGGGAAGGGAGATTTAGCTTGGACATCAGGGGGAAAATCTTTAGAGAGAGTGGTAAAGTACTGGAACAGGCTGCCCAGAGAGGTTGTGGATGCCCCGTCCCTGGAGGTGTTCAAGGCCAGATTGGATAGGGCCTTGGCAGCCTGGTGTAGCATTAGGTGGGAAGGTTGGTGGCCCTGCATGTGGCGGGGGGTTGGAGATTCATGATCCTTAGGTCCCTTCCAACCCTGGCAATTCTGTGATTTAGGAAGTTTAAGTTGGCCGCTCACAGGGGGACTGTGAGAAGCTCCTGAAGCAGCAAGGACAGCCTCAGGGCTGGGCAACAGAAGTATAATGCTGGCAGGATAACAAGGCAATAACTTGAACAACAAGCATGAGAGCCTAATTAACCAGCTACTCAGCTTGATACCACTAGCCCACTAACAATTTCTGCCTAATGTGCAGTAAAAACAGCAGTGTTAGATTAAGAAAGAAAAGCAACATTAAAAAAGGTAATCATGCCCTTTGATAACCACACTGACTTTGCTGGGGGACTCGAAGTGTCACTGCCACTTCAAGACAAAGAAGGAACATTCATGGAGGAAAGGCTGACAACGGAAGGGTCTATGAGTATTGGAAAAAGCTGGAACGCACACAAGTCATAAATAAGCTGTTCAGAAAAGATAAGAGATAGTATGCCCTAGAGTGCTGTGAGGGGCAGGAAATAAGGAAAGCACTATCTACACTTCCTCCCAATTCACGTGATTAAGATCATCACCACTAAAAGGAAAGCATGAACAATGAAAACTGGAAAAGGGGTGAAATACCACCTGGCAACACTACAGGTACCAACATCTATTGAGGCCAAGAGATGAAGATGACACAGAGAAAGGAAAAGCTTCTGTTTGTCACAACTAGCTGACTAGACAGCACTTTTTTCCCTAGGCAGGATTCCGCTTTTCATCCCATGGACTTCCTTAACAGAAAATCCTGTCACTTTCTCTAAAGCTCCTAAAGCGATTACAGCCAGAGGCACACAACATGCCCATGATCCAGCTGGGAAATTCCTATGCTTCTATACCCACGTGGTTTCATACTTGCAGGGGAGTGCTTAAGTCAGCTTGCAAGGAGTAAAGAAGGGCCAGATTTGATCCATGAAGTGCTGACACTGACACTTGATTCCATAATGCCTTGATGTACCAGCGAAACACTAATGTTTCTGGTGCTGCTGATAATACAATAGCAAAGAGGTGAACGTACCCCTCTGGGCCCATACTAATAGCCAATCATTGTTTCATTGTTAGTAATTAAAAAAATTAAAAATAGTCAAATTATCTACAATTTAAAACAACTCCATCCCAGCAGCAGTGGCTGAGAAAAAAAAACAACCTTACCTTAACCAATGCCATAAGGTCAGTGGAAGATTTATTTGTATCCTCCTGTTTGAGTTCAGGGACTTGGTCTGCAGTTTTGGAGTCATTTACTTCAACTGGAAGTGGCTGCACATCATCCCATTTCTCCTCTGTATACAGGTTCTGTTGCAAGGACACAACCAGCATGAAGAAATCAAGAAGCACTGGAGCAAATCTACTGAAGTGCAAGCTACTGAGCAACCAGATGGTATCACTCTGACAGATTAAGAGAGCAATCTTCCCACCCTGCTCTTTCTGAAGTTTTGGCAACTTTAAAGGACAGAAGAACACAGAGGAAAGGAAACAGCATGAACAAGAAATAAGCTGTCACCTTAACTTCTTTCCACCACCATAAAACTAGTTTCTTGATTAAAATCATACTTTCCAAGAATACTGTCCAGTTAATGCAGCCTCCTGAGAACTTCACCATGTAGGAGTGTCCTAGGCTAAGAGACCTGGTACAACAGCATCCACGCATCTTGTTTTTAAGTGGGAACTGAGGTGTGTGTGGTGGGGAAGCAGCAAGTTGTTAAGACCAACAGGGCAAATCTAAGGTTTGACCACATCAGGAGGGTTTCCCTACATTGAGAGCAGTTACAAGGAAATGCTAGCTGAGCTGTAACAAGTGTCACATTAGACATGCTTCATTCCAACTCAAAACATGTTATGGGAATGCTGTCAGGCTTTTTTTGGTCTTATTTCCAACGTCTTTGAAAAAGTGCATGGTACTAAACCAATATATGTCAAACAAGCTGGAGTTTATTCTGCTGAATGACAGTTATGCCACAGCCAAATGCCCACCTGATTACACAGTTCATTCTCATCCAGTCTGGAGCTTGATGCTTCATTATCTGCACCTACAGAATCCTGCTGCAAGCAAAGGTCTGGCTCCACCAGTTCAGCACTCTCCTGCTTTGCACCAGGATGAACATACAAGGCTAAAGAATTCAATTCCTTGAACCCCTAGTAACAAACAAACAACAACAAAAAGCAACACGCAGCGGAGTTAAGAAAGATAATCTGTAAATACCACCAATACCAGAAAGAAAAAAGTGTGCTCCAGGCACACTTGACTTCCCGTTGAGATAAATAATCCCAGCAGCATTTTTCTCATGGCTTTCAGACCCACACAGTTCTTATCAAAACAGAGCTGAGACATTCAGATAATGATACAAATTGGCCTAACTCATAACCACTCCCTGGTACTTGGTTTATATTCTGAATGCCTGCCCTAGGTAGAGCATGCAATCACCAAGCTTATGCTGTCCCACACTGCACATTTCACTGGCAAACTAAGACGCTTTTAATCAAGACCATTTCTGTAATTCAGTTTGTCAATGGCATAACTGATCTTCAATGATGAGAGCACTAAAGATCTTCCCATTATAGGCATCCAACCGATCCTACCCCTGCTCTTTCTTACAGCAGCACATTCCTCCCTCCTGACCTGGGAAGGTAAGTTCTCTTTGCAGATGTCAGCATATCCCTTATCCTTCAAGACAGAGTGAATGTAGACATCTTCCTCAGAGGACGTGTCACACAGAAAGAGATGCAAAATGCCATTCACATATTCATCCACAATGCCCACAAGGACCTTTGAGTAGCACAGCTCCTTGAACTGGTGAGTTGCTTCACTGGTCCATGTATCCTCAAGAAGAAACAAGAATATGAAGTTAATATAAACAGACCAGAATCCATCACGTGAGACTTTCCCTTCTGAGCACTCATCAAGATGACAATTAGGCCAAGACAGTTAGGGATAAAAATGCAGGAAAAAAAAATATCAAATTTTCCAGAACTGCACTAAATTAAATTACCCCAAAGTTTGCAAAGCCAGTTACACTGGGAATGCCTTTCCACTATAAGTACCCATTTTCAAGTGTAGTCATTTTATCTTATCTATGGGGAGTGGGAGGAGGCGAATTCCTGGAACCATGAGATGATAAAAGTTAAGCGTCAGGAGTTTTTACAAAGCTGCTAACGCCTCACAGCAATGAAAAACGTGGATCTTTTGCCCTCAAGAAGGAGAGGAAAGTTTAAGAATGTTTTTAAAACACAAATTTGAACTGTGCTCCTGTGCTCTGCTTTGGAAAGACTGTTTCTCAGACTTCTTGACCATGAGATTTCTCAGGACAGGCTGACCCGAGCTTTGGCTTTTTTGATTGCACCAAACTCACTTAAAACTTGGTCTCAGAAAATTTTAGAACAAGGCTGAATCCACCGGTGTTTTAGAAGGACCCTAGAGAACTACTGGAGGGGGAAACAAATACTTGCTAATTTGCTTAACAGTTACTATCTGTTTCTACAATAATATAAGCAAGAATACTACAACATAAAGAAGAAACAATGAAAGGGTTATCACTTGCAGAGAAGCAGTCGTATTCCACTGAACATAACAGCAACAATTCTGCTGTAAACATCAGAGGGACCTGAATAAATTCAAATATTTGTCCTTATCTTGAGAAAAAGCCTCTCTCTTCTTGACAGTTCCTGTATTTATGTCAGTAAACAAAACTGCATATGAACACATACCTCCACAGGCTTCACCCATGCCAAGGAACACGGGATGGCCTGAGCTGGGAGCTTCAAGTAGCACCATCTGCAATATAAAACAAATGATGGCCATTAGAGCAAACAAAGCAAAAACAGACAGAAGAGCAGAACTTACTCCTCTTCCAGGTTTTAAAAATCAACTTAGGAATAAAGAGTGGATTTATGATTAAAACCCAACAGTAACTTTGGAAAATATCCAGGGAACAGGCACAGTAAAAACTGCACTAACAACTGATCTCTTATGCCTTCCCACACACAAGCATCTTTCTATCATAACCCCTCATGATTACAAAGTTGTGGACAGAGAACAATGACTTTCGAACCAAAGAATGAAGCATAGAAAAGATATTAAATTGCAGAGGCAATCAAGTACCTCTGACAAAAAATGCAGCTCATTTCAACAGATGACTTCTGAAGAGAATGTTTACATCTGCTCGTGGAATCTAAGATGAGGATGAGATCCAGTCTCAACCATTCTGTGATTCTGTCAACCGTGCATGATCTACTCACTTGAGGAATCTCAGCCAAGACTTTTGAACAACGCCTACATTTCCATAATCTGGGTAAAACACCTCCACTTCTTGGTCACTGATCACACGGTGGATGATAACTCGGTACCACCATCGTAAGAACATCACACAGCAAAGCTGCCCAGGCTGTATCGAAGACTCAGGCATGATGTAACGATCGGAAACAAGTTTATTTGAATAACAGCATCTGCAAAACATCATAAGGAAATACTGTGCTTGGAAGGATGCAAGAGATGAACACAAAAATACACAGGACTTCAGAAGAATCCTGATTTCTCAAATCCCAGTGACACAAATTTTCAGAAGTTATTTAAATGGATGCTTTACATCACCATTCTGCTGAACTTAAACTGGAAATGACTATAAGAAATGCAAACCTAGATTTCAACACTGAATGTCCTCCTTGGAGTCCTATTAAAAAGAGAATTCCTTAGAGGCTAAATACAGTCATTTTCATCATTAACTTTTAACATTATCTGGCTAAATCTTTACTTCTTATAAATCAGATTTTGGAGTACTGACTACACATCATCTGTAGTATTTGCCTGCAGAATTTATAACTCCACTTGTATGTGCCCCATGGACATCAGGTGCTTCCTCAACACATAGTTAACAGCAGTTACAGAACTGCTGTGGTGGAAGAGAAACTCAAATGCATAACGTAACTGACTGTCATTGATGAGGCTTTGCTTGCTTTCAAATATACATCGTTTGCTCTGAAAGTAGTGCTTCCTATTTATTTTCACAGTAACCACAACAATACACAACACCACTATTATAGAACATTCACCTCTGACATCATGAGCAGACCATCATACAGGAGGCATTACTTTCGAAGCAGCCCTTGTACATAATGGCAAGTGCGTATTACTTGTTGCATTTTTACAAGCATTGGAAATGGAAGGAAAAAAATTTAACTGAGCCCATTAATAACACACTGAAAAGAGGTGCAAAGAAAGATAAAAATTCCCCTTCTGGAACCTTTATATTCTTTTACAGCTTAGAACTGTCTAGGACACACTCAGCAACTGTGAATTGGTATTAATCATACTTTTGGCTTGCTAATTAAAAGGAATGGATAAGCATTATGAACACATTTCAGACAGCACAGGCATCTCCGTTTCAAGTTACCAAACCAGCTGCAACCATAACTATCAAGCTTGGTGCCCTGTTCTCTCAGTACAAACACAACAGGCAATAGTATCTATCAGCACAGTGTTCTCACCTCATCTCAATCATGAGATCCAACAGTTTATCAGAAGTTTCCGTGCTGCAGACATGGATGTAGAACTCACCAGGAGAGACTATTAAATTCACAATTACTCCCACCAAGCACCTTGTCTCCAGTGGAGGCAAACTGCAAAGTCTTCTGTCCTGAACTGCATCTGGAGGGATGTCTGAAGTCACCATCATTATATCCAGCCTGGACTGTTCCAAATCTTGAGGCTACAAAGAGATAAGAGGGAGGTGGTACTCATATCTCTTCACACGCTGAGCATACATGAGTAACTGCTCCAGTAATGTTTTGAAAAGAAAAAGTCTGCTTTGCTTGGAACCTATGAATTAATGAATATCAGCAAATCCCACCAGTTGTGCAAACCTGGATAAGAACTTCCCCTGTGTTGGGAGCATTCGTTCTCTCTTCTCCCTGAAAGGGAAGAATGAAGGAAATCAGTAAATAATAGTAGTGTAACAACAGTGCTTTGCATTCCCACAAGGAGAAAAGGAGTTACAGTCATGTCCTGTATTTAGACAAAAACAGAAAACAGCTATTGCTAAAATATATGTTTTTAAAAAAGTTTGCTGGATTTTACCCAAAAGATGCTATTTTCTATGCTCTGTGACCAAGAAAGAGTATGTGATTGAACCAGGAAAGCTATCTGAAAGTGATTCAAGTGACATTTTCACATTAGAGCTATTTCCCAAGGACAAAAACAAAATCTACAAATTCTGTTTTCTCACTCGAGATCTGTCTGAATGGCTAGTGCAGCTTACCATTTCTGTAGATGGGAATCTGTATCATACATAAGCTACTCTCTCACTGCCTCGAAAGCTTTCTTCTGCAGCAGTGAACAGCATTCCTCCAAAGATCAGAAGTCAAAATGATTTTGTTTTGACCCAAGTCAAAACAAGTTACACTGCATTATACACCAAGCAACGCATGGGAAACATCTTCCAGCACGTTTACCTCTGCTTACCTGGCTAATCCAACTGCAAGCAACATTTTTTGCAACACTGACTCTTCTAAACATTTTTTTTCCAAGAAGTAGATAAGTCTCTCCTTCTACAGAGCAAGAGAGAATGCCCTTGAAGTTTTTGAGTTAAAATTTTGAGTGAAACATTAAATTAAACAACAGCTGAGGAAATTCCTGGCTGAGCAGCAGCTCAAAGAAGAAAAAAATCCATACCATGGAAATCCTTTAAGAAGTGCCTCTGAACAGTGGCATTTCTGAGGGACAGGTTTGCTCCCTTGAACGTTGCTTCATATCACCCTGTTATGGGCATACACTGTCTTTATAATCTAGTTTACAGATCAGTAGTGACAAAAGACATTTCCATGGATGTATAGAAATGTGTATTTGTAAATATGCTTAAAAAAATCCCCAACAAAATAATAACAAGAGAAAACAACAAAACACCAAAAGTGAGTCCTGCAATATATTACAGCCTGTGAAACTGGCTAATCCTTTCCCTAAGACGGACAGGCAGCTGCCACAGTGGTGTGAATGACCCTTCCCTCAGCTGTGGGTGAGAAAAGCTGCTGAGAGCAGCAGTTCCATACACCTCTCCCCTTCTCGGAGCCAAGTGGATTGACTCAGCCCATGTTCCTCACATTATTAGTTTCCTTTCCATTATTAGTTTCTCGTGACAGGATACTGGGATACCTTATAGCAGGGCAGGGATCAGGTCTCTTCTTTCCCCTCTACCTTGCAGCATTCTGATGAACAAGCATTCACTGCACATCCCACATACCAACTAGCTTTCCTCCCTTTTCTGATTTCTTTAAAAACAGAAGAGCAAGCTTAATATCTCATGGGGAACACAAGTTGAACAAACACCTTTAATGACCTGATCAGGATAAGTCTTTAAACAGGTTCCCATTGTGAGATTTTTGTGCCTTCATATCACTTGAAGTCAGGGTTATCACAGTCTTTTTTTTTTTTTTTTCCCCTTCAGACTCAACAGGCAGACTGCACTTGATTCAAGGAGAATTTCTGGCTGCTTCATCACACCAATCTAAGGCTTCTTTACAAGCTCAGTGCTGACTACCAGAGAGTTTGCTTTAGGAATGTGAAGTCCAGCTGTAACAATCAGAAAGATCAACACAATGGAAAGGTGATACAAGAGGTTTAATGACAGAGGAACTAATGCAATAGAAAGGCATTATAAAGGAAGGAAAAAAGACTGCTCACCCACCTCTGAAGATCCAGGCTTGCAGGGGAGAGCTCTACAAGAGAGGGATCTCCAGAAAGAAATCCTTCCACAGTGGCTGTCAGCCCTTAAATGAGGTCTAAGAAATACAGCCAGGCTTTACCCCTTCCAGTTGCACAGCTGAAGTGCCTTCACCTGTGCTCCCAGGGCTGACCAGGTCTTTTCCCCAGGTGCTCAATAGTGGTTCAGGCCGTGACTCAACAGTTACCAAATTAATTGCAAAAAACACCAAAGTCAGGAATAACTCTTGGGACTCTTTTCTGGCACTCCAACCCTCAGGTTGCATACAGCCACCTGGAAAGTTTGGCAGAGAGAATTACAGTAGGAAGGTTTTCTGGAGAAAAGGAAGGCAGGAAAAAAAAAGAGAGAGAAAAAACAGAGGTGACAAATTCACCCAACCTATTAGATGCTCTGAACTGCTCCTCTCCATCTCCTTCTAGAAATACACTGTCAAACAAATTCAAAACTCTGAAAGTCCAACAAGAACGACTAGGAATCCCCACAACTTTATACAGTGAATAAAGTCTTATTGTTTCCCTTTACTAAAGGAAAACAAAGGAGACAATTCTTTTTGTGCCCCACTTAACCGCATTATTTAGTCACCTAAGTGAAACTGTAGGAATCTAAGTCTCCACAAGAATCATCTCCCAGTTTTGTCTTCCTGGCTAACTGGACTGAACAAGACACTTAACTCTGCCTACTGCAGCCCAGGAAATTCCACAGAGCTGATCTTCAGATCACTAAGATGTAATAACAAATAAATACACAAAAGAGTATCACCACAACTATCAGGGAATGAGATTATGATTAACTGACCTTGGATGGTTTTTAACACAGATCAGAAGACCAGAACAAGAGAAGAGAAAGATTTAGGTTAGGATGGCATATGAAGCTATATACCAGCCTGAAGTCTTGCCACTTCCAGACTTACCTAGAACAGGTACTGAAAATTTTGTAAGCAGCAGTGCATCAACAACACAACCTCAACAGTAACAGAACTAAGTAAAGAGCCTCCAATCTGGGATTGAGTCACAAAGAAGCTACAGATCACTCATCCAGCTACTCACTTGTTTCAGGCCATCACCCGGACCTACTGCTTGTGCGTCCACTGGTTCTGACTTCTCTTCTGCTGCCTGATGGAAGACTTCTGTCTCACAGCTGGGTTCCAAAGGAGGCAGCTCAGCCATGGGTACTGCAAAGACAATAACTTGGCTGTTATTCTTTCTTGGACTGATGCAGAGTTACACGTTAAACAGAAAATGCTTGAAAAATGAAAGCACTGGTTGCATTTTTCCGATCTCTTGTAGCATTCAGTTACCACATTCACAAACTTCTGCTAGAGAGGCATCCTTCATAAATGAATTCTACCTAGACAAGTCAGGAACCCTGCAGGTACTGTGTGCAGTTTTCTGCCATGGCTGTTACAGGAACAGTGAGTACACACAGTCTCTTCCGCAGGAGATTATAGCTTAATCTTTCATAGCAGTACTAGTACATTTTCAGTCTCAAGAAGTGCACTGAAGGGCTCTAATGACTTATGGAGCGAGACACTCAAGAGATCCTTCCACTTTTGTTATCTGCTGCCTGCAACAATTACCATTTCTTGTCCTCCCTGTTTATATTTGGAAGGTAGATCCCTTCTTTCACCTGCCACCAAAAACCAGTGGCAACTTGTAGAAAACCTCCGGTTAAGCTCTCTGCTACTGAGACAACTCCTTAAACTATTTCTGCAGAACCACACAGACCTTCCTTGTTAAATTAGAAGGGAAAAGGGATGATTACAGCAACTGAAAACACAGCAACATCGACCAGAAATACGGCTGCTTGTTCACAATGCTTAAAAGACCTACGTGTTTCCAGCTAACTAACACACAGCCTTACCTTGTGTCATCTTTTCCTGCTCTATCTCACTTGAGGAGCTCTTTTTCAGGGTTATCAAGGAACCCCCTCTTGTCTCCTTAACCATAATTATATCAGACAAGCTTTCGAAGACTTCAAATATGGAGAAAAATCCATATTGCCTGTACTGGAACGTCCGCTTAAATCGTGTGTAGTATGCATTGTTGAAATCCAAGAGCAGAAGTGGTGAGGAACTCAAGAGATCTTGCAGCTCCCTCTTCACTGCTGCTGGCAGGACACGAGTCTTGACCTTTGGAGGCAAACCCCGCTGGTTCTGAGAGGGAAAAGCAGCTCTTCCCTTCCTAGCAACACTTCGTGCTTTACCACTTGTTTTCTGTCTGGAAATCAGTTTGGAAATATCTTTGGTGGTCTCATCGGCAACAGCTACAGTAGGAAAAAAATATTAGCTATTTATTAGCTATTATAAGACTGGAACAGTAAACCATTCAAAGCTCTGCATAGGCAAAGCTGTTCTTTCCACTCTTCCCATTTCCCTTTTTAGACAGGTCTCTCTTCTAAAAGCAATCCCACTAAACCTATATTGTTTGCTGTACTAAAATACAGACATTTTCCCTCTACAAAATGGACAGAACCAAATTTAATAGCTAATCTGCACCCTCATTCCTATAAAACCAGACAGAAGGAAGGCTGGTCAAATGCATACTGCATCACAAGAAGAAAGCCAGCTGCTGTGGGTTTTGTTGGGAAACAGTAAATGGTTCGCTGCTTCTCTCAGCCTGAATTACAGTACAATCTCAATACAGCTTAAGAGCATCAGGATGTTGATGAACTGAGTCTTATTTCAAAGTGGCTATGAAAAAAGAATCCAACAGCCACCTCAACTCTTGGAAAGGGTAGATAACAGCAGGACAGGGGGAAGTGGTTTTAAGTTGAGGTAGGGAAGATTTAGGTTGGATGTCAGGGGGAAGTTCTTTACCACGAGAGTGGTGAGGTGCTGAAACAGCTGCTCACAGAGGTTGTGGATGCCCTGTCCATCCCTGGAGGTGTTCAAGGAGAGGTTGAACGGGGCCCTGGGCAGCCTGGTCTAGTATTAAATGGGGAGGTTGGTGGCTTTGCATGTGGCAGGGGGGTTGGAGATTTATCATCCTTGAAGTCCCTTCCAACCTGAGCCATTCTGTGATTCTAAGCTTCACAAAACTACAAGAAGCTGCCAACAGCGCTCAAAAAAGGGCTGTGTTTATGCACCTATTCTCCAGGTTCACCATCAATCCTAATACTCAAGCAAAAACAACAGGTCAGAATCACACCAAGAACTGGTGTAGAGGACCTCTCTGGAGATCATCTGGTCCACACACATCCCAGCAGCTCCAAACCAGAGCTGGTACTGATCTTCTCTCACCTTCCTCACCCACTGCTTTTCTCACTCTTAGCCAAACAACGGGAAGCAGCTAAAACAGAAAGTGCCAGAAACACCAGCAACAGCAGGGAGCCAGAGACAGCCTTTGGGTGGGCACCCTACAACACAGCCCTCACTTTTTGGCACCGCTTCACCCCAAGGCGTAACGCCAAGTAATCCTTCTCTACCTGCAAGGTCTCACCTTTGAGGAGAAACCCTCCGTTGCTGTTGGGACAGATCTGGACCACTCCCGGCATGCTGGCCACCAGCTCCATGGTGGAGCAGAACCCCAGGTCACGCAGCGGCAGCGGCCTGCCGACCATGGCCAGGTACTCCTGCTCCAGCTGGGCCGGGGTGAGGCCCCCCTTGGCAGCCAGCAGCTGCGACCTCACCTCCTTCTTCAGCAGCTCCATCAGCTGCGCCTGCTGCGACATGTCCATGCTCTAAGAGAGACAAAAAACGAGCAGAAAACACCTCACACTACAACTGCGAAAGGCTTTTTAACACACGGCGACTGAAAGGCAGCAGGTCAGGCTGAACGCCGCCGCCACGCCCCGACTCCGCTACCTCAGCCACGACGGCACGAGGCCGCACTGCACCTGCGCGCTCCGTTCCCGCCCTTTCGGGCTGAGGTGGGGAGGCGCGCGTTTCTCTTCACAGCGTTTCCCCTCACAGCGCTTCGCCGACGGTGCGGCAGGGGAGGGGACTCCTGCTACCCTGCCTGCTCTGTGGGAGCTGCTCCCTCAGCCTTCACCTGGCAGAGCAGGTGTGCTTCCCTTCTGACAGGAAAAGTCAGACCCACCTGTGAAAAAAAGTTCTCTTTTCTTGAAAGCAACATTTAAACTCAAATGCCAGTGTTAATCAGGGTGATCCTGCATGTTTTTGTCCCATCTGAGAGGAAAGCCTACAGTGGAGTGCCTTAAGTGTCATAAGGTAGCTGTTTTCTGCCGACTTTCATTCAGCTTTTCTCACCTACATTCAAGCTGGCACATCTGCCCTCCTGCTTCTAACATCCTGACTCAGGGCAGCCCAAAAGCCTGCAATCAAACAGGAATCTTTTAAGAAAACGAGATCAGCACCTCCCAGGCTGCCTTCCCCGCTCCCTCCAGCAGCTCCTCCGTATGGCACATCTGCCAGAGGCTCAGTGGGAAACCCTGAGCTCAGCACTGCCCGGCCACAGGGTTGTCACAGCTTGTATGTTTCAGCCTTGTTAAGTGTGATTTCCAGTCAGGTATTGATTTCTTTCAGACAGACAGTGACACGGCGTGATCTGTGGCACTCCTTGCAAAGGTTTTCGCAGACGGTACCACGGTCTGTGCCATATGGCTGCTCTTCCTCTGGTAAAAAGCTCTCGTGTTTGCACTGCCTCACTTTTGCTGTGCAAGATTATGAAGGCATTTTACACACAAACCCTACTGGCAATTTAGAGATAAATTCAATAGTTCTATGCTTGCAAGGACCTCCAAGCTCATCACACTCAGGAACTGAATTGGGAATGTATTGTGCTGAACGCTCAGACCATTTTGGGTTTTGGGAGTTGAGGGTCTTCTAGTTACTTTTAGGTTGTTTTTCAATAGCTTTGTAGAAACCATCTATTAAAAATCATCAAAGTGCTTTTGATTACATTTGATTTCCAAAGGCAGGAAGGTACAAACAGAATGTCTTTCTGCAGTTCACCCTTTTAAGGTCTGACATTCTGTATCATCTCAACAGCCATGTGAGATGAGAGCAGAGCAAGAGGGAAACAGCTTGCTCACTTCACTGTCCATTTTGTCTGACAAGCTTGTGATAAATTTGAACAAGCCTCCTCGATCTGACACCTCCTCTTCTCTCCTCCCCTGCCTGGATTTTCTGCCCGCAGCAATAAATTCAAGCACGGATTCATCCCACTCCCACAGGAAGCTGTATGCTCCTCGGTGCAGAGAATCAGATGAGGATGGATAAGAGATCTCGAAGCTCTTCCAGGGAGTCCCATAGGAGAAAGAGAGAGTCTCCAGCTACGCAAAGGAAACGGGAGAAGAGGGAGAGAAGCAAAGAAGCCAGCAAAGAAACAGGAGATATAAGGCAGGAGAAAACAAAGGAGATTAAGAGCACTGTAGGCACTGATGGTAGGGTGCACACATCCACAGTGGTGGACGTGGATGATGTGATATCTGATGAAGAAATGGAAGCAATGATGTTGCTGGACAGCGAGCATCAAGAAGAAGGTATGATTTATAGAAGGGAAGGGGCAGAAAAGCTATGGGCTCTTTGACACTGTGTGGGTGACAGTGTCTTTGCTTTCTGCGTGGTGAGTGTTATCACCCCTTGCATAGATGTGTAATTGTCCTCAAGACAGATTATGGGAAGCTCCAGTCAGCTTCTACAGTCAGTACAGGCACATCAGTGCTGTCTAGCAAAGCAATGGACTTTGAAACAAGCGGTTACATTCCCAGCATCATTTATGCTTCAGTTCACTACTCCCCATTTTTTTTTCCTGCTCTTTTCTCATTATTTTCTTGCTTCCCCTCCTTTAGGCAGACAGAATTAGCTTTAATGCCAGTTCACAGCCCTAAGAACTGTGCTGTAGGGAGAATGCTTGAGGCATACATTCGTAACTCCCTTCAGGATAGCCTCTGAGTGCAGCTCTATTCTCTGAAATGCGGCTAAAATCCTGTTCCAAAAGACCCTGGGATCTTTTAGATTCCCCAGTGGAGAGGGGTACTTCAGTCTATATGTATTGAAAGTTATGCTTTATTTACAGTCTTTCTGTTTGCCATTAGCTTATCTTTTCAGATAAATTTCTGTGATTTCAGGGTCAGCCAGCAAGTTGCCCATTCTGAATCTTTCAGTGCTGCTTGGTTGTCATATAGATCTACTGTGCAGAAGCCAAAAAAGTAGAATTAAAGTTTGTGAGCCTGTCTTGGGAACTCTCGGCCACTTAGGGCAGAGACTGTTCTTGAAACACAGCTTGAGAGAGCACTGAACAGGCAAGGTCCTAGGCAGAGGACCAGCAGAAACTGACCTGTACAGGCACTCGTCAGGTCATCTTTATTTTGGGAACTTTCCTATCCTAACACAGTTGTGTTGGATTTTCCCTTAGGTATGAAATCTCCTGGTCTCAACATCTGTGAGTGGCTTCTGACTATATTGTCTTTCCTGTTCATCATAATGACTTTCCCCATTTCTGTCTGGTTCTGCATGAAGGTAAGAATAGGCATGATGCCTCTTTGGATTTAGTATTTGGTGTCTGATGTAACTGTAACCAGCATGTGTTGGTCATAAGCTTATAGCTTAGGTTCTTGTTTTTAAACAGTTTGCAGGTCTTTTCACTTTTAAACATAATCTTCAGCTCACCCAATCCGGACATAGCTGTGTTGCAGCAGCAGGGTAAAATAGATTTTGTGTTACAAATTTAGAGGGAGGTTGATCTTTCAATTAATAGCAGATTTTTCCTCTTCCTCCAGTTTTCTCTGATTTATAACATGGTTACAAGTAGACATATTTTGATTACAGCTTCTCAGGAAATAGATTAAGCTCAAGGTGTTCAAATTCAGCCAAACTACAATAAAGCAGAATGCTGGCCTCATCCTGGGAAACACTGAGCAACTCTAGCATGGGCTGCTCTCACCTAATCACAGGCTGATTATATGCAAGCCAGCTATCAGTTTGGGGTCAGGTTTTCTTCTGGGTTAAAGAGGCTTAGGAACGGTTGACTCCACTACCTCCGATCTGCTGAAATTCTCCTTTCAAAGGACTTCACCAGAACAGAGGTCTTCCTATGCACAGCCCATAGAGGCTTTTTTCCTGGTCCTATGCCTTCCACTCCAGCCTAGCTTTTGTTTCCCTCTGCAGGTAGTGCGGGAGTATGAGAGAGCCATTGTTTTCCGGCTTGGGCATCTCCTTCCTGGAAGGGCCAGAGGGCCTGGTAAGATGCCCACTGAGTTCCCCCCAGCCATATTGTTCCTCTTCATCATGCTCTACCAAAGCTCTTGTTCTGGTGCCCTCCAGGCAGGTACAGTTAACCAGGAGACACGTCTTCTTAGGTCCGGCAGCTTCCAATGGCTTTTCCCAATACAGAAGCAGACTCACAGTTTGAGCCTATATATTGCTGTTCCTTCACAGTTCTGTACTCAATCCCCTCTACTTCTCCCTAGAGCTGAAGAATCAATTTCTGTGGTTTTGAATATCACAGAAAGACTTTCTTTTCTTTCCACAGGTCTTTTCTTTTTCCTTCCCTGCCTGGACACATATCACAAAGTGGACCTCCGCCTCAAAACCCTCGAGATCCCCTTCCACCAGGTATGACTACCATCCCTTCTTTATTTTAATTGTTGGATCTCTTTATCTGATTGTATTTGATGACAGCTCTGATTTTGCATTGATGTCAGAAAAAAACAGCTTATGCTTAAGATAGTGATTCTGGTTCCATGTCACTCCACTGGCCACAAGATACTGTTAAACACTGCCAGTCCTTAGATCTTGCTGCAGATATTACATCAAGCCATCTCTGCAAAGCCTTAGCTGCTGAATTCCTGTGAATGTATGAGAAATGTCCTTTACCTCTCTGCCATTTTAAAACCATTGCTTTTAATCCCATTCAGTTTGACAAGCTCTAGTGGTAACCAATAGGAACTGGCTGGGCCATGGATATTGGAGCAGTTTTTACCTATCACACTGCGGGGTACATACAGTGGGGACAGAAATGCAGACTAAGATCTTACAATGGCATCTCTAAGTGTGGCAACTCTGCTCTTGTATAAGTCAGGGAAGGGGCTGAGAGCTCACTGTTAACTTTGAAACTGGCACCCTCCCTAGCCACAGTCCCACAGGTCAAACCTCCCAATAATCCTGTTGTCTGTGGCGCTGCCTTTATCTGGTACTTTCACCAGCTTCCCTCCCATGCTGTAAAGCAAATCCCTCTGGGGATGGTACTCAGCAACACCGAGCACATAGCAAACAACAGGAATGGACCAAGCAGCTGTGGGCCAGGAGACAGATTAGGATGTTCAACTGCTCACAGTCTCTAGCCCAGCAACCAAACTGAGGAGACAGACGCAATGATGCTATACCAGGGAAGTGAGATCCACAGGTGATGCAGTTTGCTAAGGTCAGAGAGTAGCAGAGGTGGCAACTACAAAGACATAGCCATCTAGCTAGTCTTCGTCTTTCCCAGAGTTGTGTACTTTTCTGTGCTACCTTAAAGTTGTCAGAACCAGATCCATCTTCCCTCACGTCTTCTGCTTAGGTGGTGACTAAAGACATGGTTACACTGGAGATAGATGCTGTCTGCTATTACCGTTTGGAGAATGCCTCTCTTCTCCTCACCACCCTCACCAGCATCTCCAGTGCCATCCAGCTGCTGGTGCAAACCACCACAAAGCGCCTCCTGGCACATCGAGCCTTCTCTGAACTTCTGTTGGAGAGAAAGAGCATCAGCCAGGAGATAAAGGTGCTTCTGCAGCTGGGGAGAGGGTGGAGCAAGCGGGGAATTAAGGCTCTGCTAACAAGCTTGGAAGATAATCAGTCCTAAATCAGTATTTTGCAAAAGAGTGTAATAAGAACATATGCCTCCTTCATAGAAAAATGGGAATTTTTTCTCTTTTTAAAAATCATTTTAGGGGAAGGATTTACAGACAGTGTGGGTCTCACAAGCATATGTGGGTAGTAGCAAACATTATGAGGTGAGAAGCATGAAGGAACCGCAAATCATTTTCATCAGTCTCTGCAGTACCTCGGGTTCTGCACTTATTCCAGAGAGGACTTTCTCATGAGAATGGTTTTCTGCAGTGTGAGAGAAATGCCATAAACCCTGAATACATGGGATCTTCAGCAGCAGTTCTCTGCGGCCACAATGTGCAAACATGATTATACCACTCAGGAACTGAATGTTTCCTATGGAATTGGATTGGTTCTACAGTCAAACCAGTATGGAGTAGCTAAATCATACTAAACCCTCAGGGTAAATACAAATCAGAAGTGAGGGGTATAATTTTTATTTCTGAGAGTCTACACACAATATATAATAAATCCTCCTCACTGCCTTGAATTAATGTTCCTGGACTTCTAAGTCCCTCTGAGGGGTCTGGACAAGGGCTTGTGTTCTCCTTGTGCTCTAAAATATCTTCCTCTTGACAGGTGGCTTTGGATGCTGTCACAGGCTGCTGGGGGATCAAAGTGGAGAGAACAGAAATGTAGGTAGGAAGTGCTGGTAGCAGAGACTTCCTTGCCCTTTTGCAAGTATCCATTCTGTCTTACTCATGTTTCTTCTTTGCCCCTGGCCCTCTCCCTGCAGCTATTTTGCAGCCCTCACCTTGTTTTCACTGCCCCTTTCAAACCTCTGTCTCACATAAAACTTTCATGAGCAAAGATGTTACTTGTTCCTGCACTGACAGCCAAATGCAGAATCCTTAGCTGGGATCTCATCAACTCTTTTGCAGACAGAATTTGTACCCAATTCTGTTAGCCTGAGAGTCACAGCAGGCAGTGAACCTGCTGCGTCCTACTCTAGATCAAAGGCCTCAGGGTCTTAGCAGTGTTTGGACTCAACTCTCAGAAGCCTGTAGAGAAAGGTGGGACTTGCTCATTACATAGAGGACCATGACAGAGAGAGCCAGGCAGCAGAGAAGCACATCTGTAAAGAGAAGGAAACTCCTGTGGCTGTCTTGAGAGCAGTCTCCCAGTGGATCCTCTAGTATCTCACAGATTTTATAAGCCTAAACTTCAAGCCTCAGAGGCACAAACAGAAAAGGCCTCTCTGCTGCCTAGTGATCATGTACATCACTAATGATCTAGTTATCATTCAAATTATTTTCTAATGATTCCAGCTTAGATCTGTAGAAAACCAGGCTACAAAAGAAAGATGGGAATAGAGGTAGAATGCTAAAGGGAGTAATCTATAGAGGGACACACAGAGAACAAAGGATGTTCATGAACATCTCTGTAGAGGCCAGTATATGAGCCAATTCTAAGTCCTAGAGGGCCAGTACAGGGCTGTCAGATGAGCCTAGAGCCCTTCTAAACCTTATCCTTCACTACCACAGCAACAATGTGCAGCTGCCTGCTGAAGTCCAGCAGTCCTTGGCCGTGGAAGCAGAAGCCCAGAGGCAGGCCAAAGTGCGGGTATGTGAACTCTGAAGACCTTCCATCTCCCTCCAAAGCATCCCTCTTTCCTTTCCCCGCTCTAGTTTGAGGTTCTTGGAACATACCACAGTAGGGTACAGCTCTGGGAAGATCTGTTCAAGGTCTTCAGATCCTGTTCGAGAGCTGTGTCAAGCAAGGTGAGCTGCAGTAAAAGCATGGCCCAGCGCAGTGGAATCCCAGATCTGGTACCTATGTACAGAAAGACAGATAAGAGGCTGGTACCATTCCTGACCCACAATGCCTATGAGAACCTCTCCCTTCTCAGGGTTTCGCTCTTGCTTAGAAGACCCCGCCAGGAGGGTGGAGCTGGGCTGTCACCACTGTCATGTACCCCACACCTTCCTTACCCTGGGCTGTCTTCCATAACTTATACTGAGCCTAGGTTGGATTTGTGTTCAGTACCCTTCTCACAAGCTTGGCCTGTGGGCTGCCTTCTTACATGCTTTTGCAGCATGCGTATGCCCAGTTGTAAGCTCTGATGGAACTAGTAGCACCCAAAGCACACATAGCTTTGGTTAAAACAAGTTAGATACGAGGTCTAGTACGTGCCATGATCAGAACAGCAAGAATGTTACAATCACAGGGGCCCCAGAAAGTTCGTGGTGGCAACCTCCCACTGTAATAAGTAGCCTATGCCCCTTACTCCCTGCCTCACAAAAATCTTTATTCTTCTCCTTGGTAGGTGATTGCTGCTGAGGGGGAGAAGGCTGCTTCTGAGTCCCTGCGGATGGCAGCTGAGATCCTGTCCAGTGCCCCTGCTGCTGCTCAGCTCCGTTACCTTCACGCGCTGCACTCCCTTGCTGCAGAGAAACCTGCTGCCTTCATCTTACCCTTACCTTTGGATCCCACGAATCTGGTCTCTCCGGCTACCCGCAGCCCTCCAGGAGTGAGCAGCGTCATCACAGACACCACAGAGCTCCCAGAAAGCGTGAAAGACAAGAAGGACTCACCCATGCTGTAAGAGTTATCCCAGAATTAGTTGCCATAAGCACTGATTAATCCTGCTCAGAGAGGAGCAAGATGGCTGGTCTATGGACAGCCCACCAGCAGGTACTGGACTGCAGACAGGAGGGAAAGCAGCCCAGACCTGTAATATAAAAGTAGATTATACATGAAAGAAGCTTCTGCTTGTTTTGGAAAGGGAAAAATATGGAGCACAATGAGCAGTGTTGGTGCATATGTGAGCAGGGGACTGAGGGAGAAGTGCCATCCCTTCCTTTTCACATCACCTGATGCACCTTGACACAAAAGATCCCTGGGATCTGATCTGTCCTACCTCATTACATTGGCAGGAAAGCCTGACTAGCCTCTATATGTTTAAACACCCCATCTCCAAATGAACAGCCTGTCACACATCATTTGTTACAGGGAAAACCCCACAGTGGGATAAAAGAGGCAGGCACAGGTTGCCTCCTACGAGTGAACGTCTTATCGGAGGGCAGTTTTCCACTGGCTCTGCCTTTACACTCAGGCTCTTGGGGTTTTCCCTTTTACACTTAGCTGCAAATGGCTTTTTTTTTTTTTTTTTTTTTTTTTTTTAAATAAAAGCAAATCCTGCAGCTGGGTGGTAAACAAAGCCAAGGCAGAAAATCTTGGATAGGAACATGTTCCTCCTCACAGCCCATTTCTGCATGCTGCATCCTGAGAAAGTGGGAGCGATTGGGTGGTACAGATGGGATCCTTGCTAAGGTGCCTTTTCCTTTGTATGAATTAGTGGGGAAAAGACAACAGGCAGGTGGGGGTGGGAGCCTGACAAATGAGGGAAATAGGAAGGGGCTTAGCATGCAGGTAATTTGGTAGGTGCTGCCAGCCTGGTTCTCCTGTGACAAGAGAATGAACCAGGTCTTATCCATGGTGCACTAGATAAAAGATTTCAGTTGTCACCCATACACATATATGTACATTAGTAGGCAACCAGGATATTTAGTCATAGTACTAGCATAGGAGAGAAGAAGGAAAGTGGCAATGCTTGTGTCTTGCTTGACGCTTCTCAGCCGGGTAGAGGGAGGAAGGCAGGCTGTGCTGCTACGTGCTTCCACTGGGTGGTGAGACAGGACAAGATCTGAGCTTGTGAACCTCTGCTTCCAGCAGGACTGTCTGAAAATATAAGGAAGATGATCCATTTAGCCAACTCCCACTGAGCTGAGAAGTGGGAATCCAGCACTAAGCAAAGAGCCAGCTAAAAGCCTTGAGAACAGTTCCTTTGCCCACTGCAGCCACATTAGTAACCTTTACTCACAGGGAAGGAATGGAGAACGTCTTCAAAGTTCTTAAAAAATCTTCCTTGCCAAAAGCTACTTGAAATAGCTTTACATACTGTAAGCTTTTACCCTGATAAGACATGGGGCACTGTCAAAGAAAATAACACAGTGCCCTTGCTTTCTTTGCTCCTGGTTCCTTTGGGTGGATATCAACTCTGCTCTTCTCCTTTTACTTGACCTGCAGCATCTAATCTTGCTTCCAAGCAGATCTCCCCTGCACAGCCTTTCCCAGACCAACAACTCTGGCGTGCTGCTGGCCAGTAGAGGCCAAAGGAAATTTTGTGTCCCCTGCTCTTAATCACTCATAGTAGTTTCCCATCATCTGTGTAGCTAGCAGGGGTGGACCAGCCAGCTGCTCACTCTTTCTTTTTCACTCAGTCTCTCTTGGCCTGCTAGTTACATTCACACGCTTGGTTCATATCATTAATTAGCAAGACTTCTGGTACATGCAACTGTGTCTCAAGGATGGTCTGCAGGTACTGGTTTAACATTACTACAAAGGACAAGGAGTCCACTCGAATGAGTATCAAGTAATTTTGTATTTAATCAGCTCTTTCATCTCCATGAAATCCCCTTCTCAACATTCAGTGCTCCCATGTATCTCACTCCCCTAGTATTTGCTAGTCTTGCAGCAGGGACTCTCAGTAAACTAGCCTCCTTAGAGGTGGTTGAGAAGGGAAAAAAAAAAAACTCACCTGTGAACTTACTGTGAATTACACAGCATCTGAGATCCAGGTGTAACCTCACATCCAACTCATTCTACCACTGTAACTCTCAGGAAATGGCTGGCTACAGGATGCCATTGGCTGCTGCTTGTATGTCTGCAATAAAACTCAGTAGTGATCTAGACACACAAAACTAATTCTGGGAAGCTCTGTAATCTTCCACTCATGAACATGAGCATTATATTTACTTCTCTAAGGCTGATTCTGTTTTTTTCTCACAATGCTGGAATAAGCCCCTGCTTCCCAACCAGAAGCAAAAGGGTGTAATTCCACACAGGGTGAGCTACAGATGATCCTTTCTCTGAGCACTTCTCTGGCTATATTTCTAACTTCATGTGAAAGGATCCAACCAGACCAAGATTCCTTAGCACATCAAGGACCATCACCTCTGCAAGTTTAATGTCTGAAAGGAACAGTGCTTGGCCAGAGACACGTAGTATTAGGCCAAGGCACACATTACCCTATTTGCACTCGTATTTTCAGAAGCATCTTTCTTCAAACATGCAACTTTTCTACAAAGTTGCAGAAAAGGCAAATGACAGCTAATTGCATCCTCAGTTCCAAAGAAGCCTTGTTCCAGCAGGATTTTCTCTCTTTAACGTATACAGAGTTGGCAGAAACTTGTAATTTTACCTTCAGGAGGTATAGACTCAAAACCTCAAAGAAGGAAAACATAATTTAAAAATGTGCTTCAGTGTTACTGATATATGGTAGGTTCCACAATAGAATTTACTCCAGGGGAATTGGCAGGAGCTGCCTGGAGCAGACATGATTCTTAACAGCTTCAGTACCTGCTCTTCAGAGCTCAGACTGGGTCAAACCTCGGAGTCATGCCAAATCCAGGCAGCTGCTGCTGTCCTGGCAGAGCTTCATAACCACACAGACTAGCCCAGGCTGGTGCCTGACTGAGGCAGAAGCCCTGGGTGACCGCCTCTCTGGGTGATTTGGCTTGTCGAGGTTGTAGGGGTACTATGCATGTGGGCTTATCAGCATACAGAGAAGGTGAACAAGCTGTAGAGATGCTAGAGCAGTGGGGGGAAGTAGAGGACAAGCACAAGACAGGTGTGGAAGTGGTAAAACCAGCCAGAAGAACAGCATAAGTGCCCAGATGGCACAGAGAGAGGGGTGGCTAGTAGAGAATAAAGGCAGCAGTCTGGGGTGAGAAATGATTCTGAATAGTAACGAAGAAACTGCTCAGATATTGTTATTTTTTATTTTTTGCTTTTTCTGGATTGCTTGGGCTGGCCAGAGGTGGAAGTTTTGGGAGTTGAGCAGGCTTCCCCTTCAGGCAAGCTTTCTTGTAAACATTTTTCTGAAAGGAAAAAAAAAAACAACAAAAGCCTGTAGAATGCAGAGTAAATACATCGAAAGTATTGTATTTTAAACAAATTAGTCTCTCTTCTTATTTTGATATCAAAAAGAGCATACACTAGAGTGTTAAGAGAAGTTTTAATTCCCACTTATTCTCCTTCACATCTTATTTCTGAGCAGATCCAGCCGAGAAAGGAAATACATTAATTTACAATAAACATGCCACCTAAAGAACTGACTGCCACACCACATGGGCAAAACCAAGTGGAGACAGCAAGAATGTCCTCTGCTACAAACACAAAAGGTATGTGGGATATGAAGGGACCTGAAACATTATTTCTTTTCTACCCACAAATCAGTGATTCTAAACAGACCTTGACTGTAACAGTACTTAAAAGGAAGGCGAAGCCAATTACAGTGACATCTAATATCTAGAATTTATGTAGACCTGGTGTCATATCGCAAAATCAAAATTATTTTATCTCAAAAACAGACAGAATTCAGCTCAGTTGTTTCTGCCCCAATCTGGAACGAGAGTAAAAGCCTCCTTGCTTAGCTTCTGACAGCGAGTCTAGACAAGAACCTGGGACATGCTCAGGAAGAAAGGAGCATGTGCTAAGTGGGACATGAAGGAGGTATCCTCAAAAATTGCTTCCTACTCTGAGTCCAGGAGAGGTTCAGATCACTGATTATCCTGACCTTGCCCTTCTTTAGGTGTTGGTTCTCGGACGACTTTGCCCCTTTTCTCCAGCTCACTCTCTAGCTCCTGGATTCTCTCTAGGGCTTCTTCCAGCTTCTTCTCAAAATCTTCAGATCTCTGCTCTGCATTCTGAGCACGGATTTCTGTTTCTCTGAAACAAAGAAGCAAAGATAATGCTGAAACCTGAAATCTAAGCAGGTGCTGGCAGAATACTTAAAAGAAAGATTTAGAAAGCTGAAATGTGCAGTGGAATTGAACAACTATAAAATACAGTTATGGTTTCAGAGAAAGGCATTGTTAAAAGAGCTTTAAGAGCTGGGGATATCGTGGCACAGCTATGTAAGCCCTGCAAGTGAATTCATTTAAACTCAGCATTTGCTAAGAAAGTGTTAAAAGTATCCCATCTTTAGCTAACATCACAATCAATGGCTTGAGACAATCAGAAGAGAAAAAAACCCAAAACTAAGCTAACAGAGATGGCGGAAGCAGAACCTTGATCAGAAAGCAGAACAGATATAAATGAAACCCTGCCCTGTTTATCCCTCCAGCATAGGACCAACACTCACATAAGCTGCACTTGTAGGTGTTCCAGCAGTGCCAGGGCTTCAAACTCTTTCTGAGAAAAGGGAGTTGATGACTTGCTGGCAGTCATCTCTCTCTGGTTGGGAAGAGCAAAACCTTCCATAAGTGAATGTGAAATCAGCAGTGCTGCATTTCATCTACAATATTGTTTGGCTGGGCATTGCTAGTGTCTCTACATGGTTACAACACATACAAGAGCTCAGTATCTGTAAATCATGTAAAACCAGAAGCTAAGTCAAGCATTTTCTTTTGATTGGATCTGATCACGTATTGACATTAAAAATAGACTAAAATCACTTCCTGATTTGGACACAAATATCTCACTTGCACTTAGTCTTGGTTGCACGATTGCCCATGCATTCATCGGGTTACAGATATTGGAGATGGCTATAGCCTGACCAGGAGTGAAGTAACTAACAACCAATGGCCAGAGGCAGCTCCTCATATTGTCCAGCAGGCATTAGTTTTCTTCACTTGAAGAAAAGAACCAGGACTTCTGTAGAGTCCCATTAAAAGACTCCTAATCTAAGCTTAGTAAGGTTACTATGATTTCCAGAGATTCACTTTTACTAACTAATCTAAATCCATAAAAACTTAGTCTCTCACTATCACTGCACTAGCTGTCTGCCTCTAAAGCATTGAGAGCAAGGCACACTTAACAATGCAGCATACTTAAGGAGTAGCACCATCCACTGACAGTTTGCTAAAGCTCCACAATTCATGTACATCTGGGTTCTGCTCTGAAGGTCTGACTAGCCAGGAAGTGACTGGAGAAGGAAAGCTGTATGACTTCTGAAGAGCAACTTCACAAACTGATGCCTTTAGCCTGGACTATTCTTCCAAAGAATACAATCCCAAAGGTAAGTGGAAAAAATGGAGACCCAGGAAGTACAGTTCACCAAAAGCAACCTGAACTTCTTGCATTCCTACTGTTCTGAATATCCCTGAATCTCTTCTTCTGTGTGTTCAGCACCATATGATTTTTACCATCCCAGGAAGTGCTGGCAACACTCAGTCTCTGGTGATAGTCCTGGTTCAGACTACACACATCACCTGTTACTGGTCTCAAGTTCATGGTACAGGGCAGGAATGCATGAGTCACTTGGATAAACTGAGGCAGCAGAAACTGTGCTAATGAATATTTTGTAGTGGCAAGGAGAAATGAGAACACCAGCACCTTTCACTCATGGAGCAGGTCCGATATAAACATTAAACAGTGTCTGACAACAGAGTCTAAATAGACAGCTAAAACCCAGCTCCAAATCTCTGCCACATGTGCTAAAAACATTAGTGTAGTGGAGATTCCTACCCCTGTAACTGAAATGATGTCTGACTTCAAGGACTTCAGGTGGATGTTGGAGTCCTGTCCTACATATCTGATCACATCGGCAGTAGCTTCATCGCCTTCAATCATATCATCTGTACTAGCACCTGGTTGCTCCTAAGAGAGAAAATGAACAAGAAGTAGGAGAAATATCACTAGCTCAGTGATGCTCACGGCAGGTAAAAGGCCATGTTTCCCATCACATGCACCAAGCAATAAAAGAATCCCAACTCTGCTGGAAAGTAGCATATTGCAGCTACTACTGTCACCTGCATAAGGACAATTTTCTCCTTTACTGTTGATGTTTCTTTCTCTGTTATTGGTTTCTTTTCGCTGTTGGCATCATCACCTTCAAGCCCTTCTTGAGTTGAAGAAATGATAGTGTCCTTAAGTTTCAACTGCAATTCCTGTAAGGCACCACAATAATTTGGTTAGTATCAAAAGTCCCTTTTGTCCATCCAAATAACCCAGGCAAAATGGCTGGTCTCTAACTTCCTCTTGCACACATTTAGACTTGGACCCACTGTGGTATATTTGCTTTTTATAGGCCATCGTATAGAGAAAAAAACGTAACACATGGCCTACAGCAGTGGCAGTATACTGTAGTACTGACATACTAGGCATAAGTATACAGTTACTCATGACTAACATCACTCTGCTTGAGGGCTGAATTGACAGCTGATGCAAATAATTCGTACGTGATAATAGATCTAAAACTATTTCCTTGTCATCTGAATTTAGGTTGTTATGTATGACATCATCAATGCCAGGCCAGCCATCTATAAAACACGTAATTATCACAGGCAGTGTCAGACACCCATCCAGTCGTATAAAGAATTAACTAGAAGTTCAGCCTGATTCGGGCAAGCCAATCAAAAGAACTTCAGCCAAAGTCCACACCAAAGGATGAAGCAAAAGCTAGCAGGCACCATGCTGAACTGTTCTACCAGTGCAGTAATACCTCATAGCTTCAGTGAAGCTTCAGTTTTGCCTCAGTAATACCCTCACAAGAAGCACAGTGATTTTTAACCAGTTTACAGTCTTCATTCTTCAAAGCTTTAACTGCAGCCTTGAGTACATGGAGGCCTCCATACTAGATCTTCCCTCAAATTGAATCATAGCTGCTTCATTTAGAAATTTTAAAGCAGATGTTCATTCAAATTGGTTCAACCTAGAACAGCATTTGCAAATGCAGTCAATATATACCTCTGATCCAAAGAGGTTTCTCAGTTCTTCTAAATGCAGAAAGGAGACTGGAGTGCCTTTGATCTCTGAAAGGAGAAGGCTACACACATGAATCCAGTTATAGCACTCAGTCTGAAAAAACATAACAGAAAAGAGGCATTATTGATAAAAAAAAGTCTGTGATCATAATTATTCAGTCAGTTAAATAATTCCATCTTTCTATCTTTATCTGTTCCAGGAACATGAATGGACCCTTCCATTCACACCTCACAGAGCAAATGTAAGACATTTCTCCAAGCTTCCAGATATGGTACCCATCACTGTCTAATCACTCAATTCCTTCAACACGCTCCACCTTAGGCCAGCACAGAATGTCTCTGTTAGACCACTCTCCCAGCCCATGTGGGGAGAAGTGAAGGAAAATCTGAAACTTTACTTTTTCACTTGCAAAACTAACACAGAACAGAAGCTTATGTATTTCAGTCACTGAAAAGAAGCTTCTTGAATTCCTTTTAAAAATCTCATCCGTTCTGTGCTCAGTGCAGTGTTGGGCTTTAGGAAAGGTCTACATCTCAGGTTCCTAAAGCACAGACAAAGCTTGGCTAAACACTGAAGATGACAATGGTAGCAATTACCAGAGGAAGAAACGTACATGCTATCACACTCCTTGCACTGCTTCAAATAAAGTTGCCACCATCAACATATACTTTCAGTAAGAGCTCAAGTATAGAGTCAAGGAGACAGAAGTGTTAGCTGACAGCAAAACACTTCAACAAAGTCTGTATAATGGTATATTGCACCAAACACCTCCAGAAACTCCCAAGCACTGCTCAAATATCAATTTACATGGGTCTGACAAGCTCTAATGTAGAGGTAAATCTACTGTTATTCATATGGAATAAATCTAGCAGGATATCCTGAAACGAGATAAGGAAAATATTAAAACTGAGTCATGTTCAGTTTTATGCACTTTCCACTTTTGTGGAGTCAGTCGGAAATTTGAGGGCCCAGGGTAGTTCACTGGAGTGGTACGAGTCTTCTTCCTTGAAAATTATCACATTTATTTTTCTCTACCTTTCACAAAACAAATGTGGTCTCGAGGTACAGACCTAGACAGCATGAAACATTGTGGCTTTTTACCTTGAGTTTATTCAGCTCCTCTAGCTCAAAATCAGCTTCTGCATCCTTCTCTGATCGTTTCTTCCGAACAATTGCACTGACAATCTCATGGCAGCAGCTGCAAAGATGGAGAATGTCATTGACACTGTAGGGGTGCCCTCAAATGCTTTCTGCCTTTCAGTCAGCATCCCTTGCTGTCAGCAAGATGTATGAGCTATCTGTGGACTTCTGCACTAGAGAGCAATCTTCACCTGCATCACTCACACAGTGACCTCCCAGTCAGCTTGTTTGTGCCAGTACTGTACTAGCCCATAATGGCAATAAGAACACAGATGCAGGCTTTGCTCCAGGTGACCTGGACTGCAGACTCACTGCCTATACTGCTTTACATCCTCCAGAGGTAATGCTCAGAAGAGTAGACAGAGCCTACAGAGTTACAGATGCATGTTTTACAACAGTACCAGGTATAAAGTAGATACTGCCATTCTCTTTAGATATGCCTAACTTACTAGGCTCCCTCCAAATTCCAGTAAGGACCATTTAGAACCTAGGAAAAGATCTAAAGAA